TGCCTTGACAGCCCATCTCTATCCTCAGAAGCTCAGCACAGCAGTTCTCCAACCTTGCACGATTGCCTCCAGGTGCTCCTGCAATATGAAAGCTACAGAATGTTTCTAGATATTGGAAAGAACAGTTGACTCTGGACAAAGATAAAAAAAGTTTGCAAGCAACAGGCTTGCCTGGGGTTGGAGGGGACTTGTCTCCTCCCAGTGGGGTGCTGGCCATCCTGGTTGGAGGGAAGACCTCCACAGCTCCACACTGGCTCATGGAGCTCAGCAAAAGATATATGCAAGATATAAGTCAGGGTTAGATAGAACGTCTGGGGCAGAGAGGACTCATTGTTTTATTTATGTGTGTTACTCAGAAGAGATAACATACCCCAGAGCTTCCAGCTTTGCCTGGATTCACCTTGACACTAGATAAACTATGAAGTTGGGAACAAGATTACAGAGCAAAGAAACCCCAAAACAAGGTTTCTTTCATCTGTCCCAGAAGCCTACCTGCAATTTTTTTGCTGTCTTCTATCTGCCATAGCTGGGGACATGAAGTTCAGAGAAACAGTCACCCAGCAATTATCGATGAGATCTGATTTTGGGTCAGAAACCAGCTGGCAATAGAGTATCTTCTTGGTAAACCAATTCCTCACTCCCAGCTCAGGACTGCTCTGCTTTGGGCACACTCTCTGGCTTCATCTCCCTCTGTTCAACAGAGCAATTACCTCCCATGTTTATACCTTAAACCTGATTCACATCACCCTGCGAGAGCTACGGTCGTATTGCCAATGGGGGAAAGGGATGAAATTTATACAGAAAATATAGAGAAATTTATATAGAAAATTATAGGATGTTAAAGCAGTCCCCAGATCAGAGCTCAGGGGAAATATTCACTGTTCATAACTGCGTGAAGTCACTGTCTCTAGCACGCTATCAACAGTCTCCTCCCTTTTTAGACACAACTCTGGGATTACACAGACAAGACTACAATTACTCTGTCCAAATCACGTCCCTTCACACCTCCCTGGCCACATAACCCTCTTTTGGAAGTGTTAGGAATTCTCTAGCATCACAGAAGTGAAACCTGATGCTTTCTACAGAAGTGAAATGAATGCTTAAAAAAAAAAAACCCAAACCCAACCCTCGCTGAAACAGCAGATTTGAGACTACTCAGGAATGTTGTAGCCGTGAGAGTCTAAGGGTACAAAAGCAAGGCAGGGTCTGCAAGAGGACACGTCTAATAAAGGATATTACCTCGCCCTCAAACACTGCTGAATGTATTTAGTGCATTCACAGAGTCTTTCAATCAGAGGCCTCGGGCTTGCAACTGGAGCTCCCTTTCTGCCTGGACAGATATTTGACTAAAATGGGGCTGGTGGGCAGAGGACTCCTCCTCCATGGTCAGATTACAGGGCTGGAGACAAAAGCTTTTTCATGTATGTGTGCGCACACACTCAGGAGGTTAAGGCAAATTGACAGAGGGAGTGAGGCAAATTGTCGTGAATATGTTTAAATATATTTATGTTCTAGTGCACAAGTGCTTGCTTAGGGAGGAGGGGCCTTTGCTTAAGTGCTCCATGGGGCTCTCCAGCTGAATTCAACCCCTCAAGATCATGGATTTTTCAGTTCAGAGCAGCCCTGCAGCACAGACCAGGAGTTCAGACCACAAACACAGTGCTCTTGCCTGTCCCAGCCCAGAGACTCAAGGACTGATCCTGTCCACAACAGGTGGAGAGATGTAGTCACCATTAACAAGGGGAAAATCACACACTGACTAATAACAGCACATGCAAGCTTAGATTGGTTTAAAATCCAGGAATTGAGCCCGGCAGAAGGACCACTCGGACATAAAACACAGATTTTGCATATTTGGCCAAAGTGTTTTTCAAAAAAGCATGCTTCCAGGCTGTTTTTTTGAGTTTTGGTTTTTTTTTTTTTAAAAACCCTGTCCCTCTGTCCTAGTTTGTCACTTCCCCAACAGCTGAAGGGATTAAACAATTTAAATTCTGTTATTAGCGGTTTGCAGCAAGACAGTTGGCTCTGCGTTACCAGGGTGGCAAAACCACAGCAAACAGCTCAAATGCTGCCCAGTCAGTATTTGTGAGACCCCCAGTCTGGATACTGGGTCCAGATTTGGGCCTCCCAGTACAAGAAACATCAACAACCGTATCAAATCCAGCCAGGATCAATGAGAGGATGATGGTGTTCACTCATGGGAAGAAAAGGGAGATCTAACTGCTGCCTACAGCTACCTAAAAAGGGAGTAGAGAGAAGGGGGGGGACCCAGAGAGGTAAGAAAATCTCTTTCCTCGGAGGTTTCTGAAGCTTACCTGGCCAATGCTCTGAGCAACCTCACCTAAATTAGAAGTTAGCCTTGCTTTGAGCAAGGGTTGGACTCCAGACCTCCCAGAAGTCCCTTCCAGTTCAAGTTTTCCCTTATTCTGTGAACAAGCCTCAAGCCAGCGACTCCTTGAATTGCTCTACCTACATCACAAGACCACATCTAGGTGCCGAGCTGGCATCTTCTTGCTTGCGAGCCTCCAGATTAAGGTTTAATACATACATGTCTTATCTGCATAAGCTTCTTTCCCAGTTTTATCACAATTTCCCTGGGCCTCTCCACGCAGACAAGCCTCAGAAAGGAATGCACGACCATCCCAGAAACCGAGCCAGTGTGTTTCATCACCTCACCGGATCGCTGAAGCCTTCAATTATGCTACGCTTTTCAAGTGCGGTAATTAAGGAGCTACAATTTGATCTTCAAGATGATACTGCAGCATGTTTCTATGAAAACATTTATTTTTTAAAAGTTCATTAAAACACTCTGCCATCCAGAACAGACAATGGTTACTAAAACCAGCCATTACGGAAACCAAGCTCACGGACGTTTACTTCTCTTTGATTTAAGTCACCTAATAAAGAACATCCACTCCAGCCTGTGGGGAATTTCACCAGGTTTCAAAACAAGGTCAGCTTCCTTTCACTCTTTCCCATGGTGCTGGAGGAATCATAGAATTGTTTGGGCTGGAAGGGACCTTAAAGATCATCCAGTTCCAACTTCCCTGCCATGGGCAGGGACACCTCCCACCAGACCAGGTTGCTCCAAGCCCCCTCCAACCTGGCCTTGAACCCCTCCAGGGATGGGGCAGCCACAGCTTCTCTGGGCAACCTGGCCCAGTGTCTCACCACACTCACAAGTCAAGAATTTTTTCTTAATAGCTCATCTAAATCTTCCCTCTTTCAGTTTAAAACCATTCCCCATTGTCCTGTCACTCCATTCCTTGATCAAGAGACCATCCCCAGCCTTCCTGTAGCTCTCTTTAGGGACTGGAAGGGGCTCTAAGGTCTCCCCAGAACCTTCTCTTCTCCAGACTGAACACTGCCAACTCTCTCAGCCCCCCCTCCCAGCAGAGGGGCTCCAGCCCTTGCAGTGTCTCCATGACTTCCTCTGTACTTGCTTCAAAAGGCCCATGTACTTCTTGTGCTGAGGACACCAGCAATCCCCCATGAGGTGCAAAGAACCAGAGACATGAGGACAAGACTCTGATCACATCTAAGGGTGAACCTCTGCCCAAATACAGCAGCTGGAGGTAGAAACCGGGCTGAGGTAACTAGAGCCACATTTGTCAGAAATGGGTAGTTTCTACATCACCTGCACGCTCGGAGAAGTCATTTCCTAACCTTGAGGGCAGCAGAAAACACAAGCCTCTGCTGTTCAATCTGTGTTTGTCTAGATACTGGTCAGCAGGAGATGGGTCACTCAGAGGTCAGCTGCTGATAAATGCATCCAGGTATCATTACTGGGGTTAACATAGATAAACTGATTAACTTAAGAAGTAACAGTTTCTTTCACTGGGTGGTCTTGAGAAAGTCTCCCAAGTTCAACGTATCAAAATAACAGTAACAAACGTCACACACAGGGATTTAAAAAGCAGAGTAAAAGGCAGGGCTGATAGTGGAGCTGAGGTGGGTCTCCCCATGCCCAGGAGAGGGAGTTGATCCGGTGTTATGGTCTGCAGAAATCCTGGAGGCTCAGCCAATCTCTCCAGGCAATATAAAAGACACCCCACTACCAGATTACCCCCACCCCAAGGGGCAACAAGAATCTTCTCCTCCTTCTCCTGAACTGATGTGGGCCGTGGGCAGCCTGCCAGACACCCCCACAAGAGATGAGGGAGGAGGAAAGTCTTTGCATGAAAGCCTAGGGGTAGTTTGGCACGCAGGGGTGGGGATAGGAGCAGCTAAACCCCCCCTTAAAGGCCAGAAACAGGCAGGGAAAACAGTTATGACCTGAGAAAAGCTGCTCTGTCACTGTTACCATAAAAGATAAGGTGTTGGTGGACCCCTTGAATAATTAAGGAATACTTGGGGATACCCTAATTTCACAGACACTTTCACCTTAGAAGACAGGAGAGAAAGCTTACCAGGGATTGTGAGGGGTATCTTTCGTTAGAGGACACAGAGACCCCCTACAACCTTAGGGGGGAAGGAAAGGAGTGTCCATCTCATAAAGCAGGAGGACAAGGAATCCCCTAGAGCTTGCAGGAGAGAAATTCCCCTTATAAGATAGGAGGGGGGGGATCCACACAGGCAAAGGAGGGGAATTATCCTTGTAAGGTAGGAGGGTGAGGGGTTCCCCATGGCCTGACAGAGGCTTCCTTTCACAAAACAGGAGGGCTTAGAGTCCCCTGCAGGCTGAGGGGAGAGGGGGGGCTCCCCTTTTTGGGGGAGGAGTAGGAGGACAAGGAACCCCCTACAGCTTGCAGGAGAGAAATTCCCTTTATAAGATATGAGGGGGGGTCCCACACAGGCGAAGGAGGGGAATTATCCTTGTAAGGTAGGAGGGTGAGGGGTTCCCCATGGCCTGACAGGTTTCCTTTCACAAAACAGGAGGGTTTAGAGTCCCCTGCAGGCTGAGGGGAGAGGGGGGTCTCCCCTTTTTGGGGGAGGAGGGTATGACCCAGGGGGAAAGGCGGGCCATTGGCGGGGCTACGGGGAGGGATCGCGGCTCCTACCGGCTGCAGGAGGCGGCCACACCGGGAGTGCTGTCCGCCGGAGGCGAGCGGCTGGCGCGGGCCTCGGCACTGACCCTGCCCCGTCTCTTCCGAGGGGGCTTCTGGCCTACGGGCTCTGCCTCCATGGTGACACGTCGCGCCGGAGAAGGCGGGGACCGGACGAAACCGCGCAGCCTCCACTCAGAGAATAATGGCGACGGCGGCGGCGAACCGGCGGTTTGAAAATGGCGGCGTTGGCGGCGGCAGCCAATCAGCGCGGCGGGAGGGGCGCGTTGCTAGGAGACGCGGGGGCGGGGCAAAGCGAGAGGGGGCGGCTCTGAGGAGAGGGGAGAGGGGAGGCGGGCTTTCCTCCCCTCAGGGAGCGCAGCGCCCTCTAGCGTCCGGGCGGGCTGGGAGGACCCCGGCTGCGGGGGAAACTGAGGCACGGAGCCGTTATGGCCGTCCCGGCCAACGCTCCCCCTTCTCCTGTCCTCCCTCCTTCCCTTCAGCCTTTTCTCCTCAGGGAATTCAAAGCCAGCACCCCACAGCCCCCGGGAGGACAGCAACATCCTCGGCCCCATCAAAGAAATCAACAAGGATTTGGAGGAGAAACAACTACACTCCCCCTCCTCCCCCCCCCAAGAATAAAGCCCCCCATACCTCAGAAATAAGCTCAAATCTTCAAAATTTACCTCAGGCACCCCCCTCAAAGTACACATGAGTGGTTTAAACCACTGAGTGCACCCTCAGCGAGTTGGCCGATGACACCAAGCTGTGTGGAGGGGTCAACATGGCGGAGGGAAGGGATGCCATCCAGAGGGACCTGGGCAGGCTGGAGAAGTGGGACGGTGACAACCTCATGAGGTTCAACCAGGCCAAGTGTAGGACCCTGCCCCTGGGTCAGGGCAATCCCAAGCACAAATCCAGGCTGGGTAGAGAATGGCTGGAGAGCAGTCCTGAGGAGAAGGACTTGGGGGTGTTGGTGGATGAGAAGCTCAACATGAGCCGACAACGAGCGCTGGTGGCCCAGAAAGTCCCCCTCATCCTGGGCTGCATCCCCAGTCCCCCTCATCCTGGGTTGCATCCCCAGCAGCGTGGCCAGCAGGGCCGGGGGGGGATTCTGCCCCTCTGCTCCGCTCTGGGGAGACCTCCCCTCCCCAGTGGGCCTCCAGCTCTGGGGCCACCAACAGCAGAAGGACATGGACCTGTTGGAGCGGGGCCAGAGGAGGCCACGGAGATGCTGGGAGGGCTGGAGCCCCTCTGCTGGGAGGACAAGCTGAGAGAGTTGGGGGGGTTCAGCCTGGAGAAGAGAAGGCTCCGGGGAGACCTTGGAGCCCCTTCCAGTCCCTCAGGGGGCTCCAGGAGAGATGGGGAAGGACTCTTGATGAGGGAGGGGAGCCATAGGAGGAGGGGGAAGGGTTTTAAACTGGAAGAGGGGAGGTTTAGATGAGATATCAGGAAGAAATTTTTCACTCTGAGGGTGGTGAGAGCCTGGCCCAGGTTGCCCAGAGAAGCTGTGGCTGCCCCATCCCTGGAGGGGTTCAAGGCCAGGTTGGAGGGGGCTTGGAGCAACCTGGTCTGGTGGGAGGTGTCCCTGCCCAGGGCAGTGAGTCGGAACAAGATGATCTTTAAAGTTCCTTCCCATCCAAACCATTCTATGAGTCTATAAACACGGTGTGTGCCCTGGGTGTGGGCATGGGGTTAAGGCAGCAGCTTCCTTTACAGAGCTGCTCATCCACACTCCCCGGCCTTTTTCCTCTTGCTTTTTCAGGGTTTTTGCTCTCTCTGGACAACATGGGATGTGCCTGGATGAAACTGGCCCCATCCAGCATCACAAAATCATGTGAAGGAAGAAGGTGGAATTTTCATCTGCTGCTTGCTGGCATTGGGAGGGTGGGATCGCATGGGCTCTGGTCTGGTGTCCCTGAGTCATGTGCATGAAACCTCTGTGTAAACCATTTGCAGTGGGGTCTTCAATTCTGATCGTGCTGCAGAAAAGCAGACACCTTGGCTAGACGGAGGTTGGCTAGCAAACCCCAGAAACTCTGCCTTGAGAAGCAATCAGGAGCCCTCACCGTTCCTCCCGTCCCACTTCGGATTAAGTGGTGCTTTGAACGAGACACTGGGTGAAAGTTTAGACACGCTCAGGTGAAGGTATCGCTTGGAAACCTGTCCCACTTGGCTGAGATTTGGATTTTCCTCCATTTCATCCCTTTCCCTCTGTGGAAAGTGGCTGCGGTGGAGGGGATGGGGTCTCTCCCTCCCCTCACGGGGTGGCAGCCCCAACCATTCCTATAAGAGAGGGTGGGTTAGGGTTTATCATTGCTTATAGATTGGAAGTATCTCCTCTGGAGTGAAAATCTGCCTTTAGAACAGACAAGTTTTGGCAGAAAGATCCCCCTTTAGGAATGCTGGCACCCCAGGCAGCTATGATGGAATGGCATTTTACAGCTTATCACGTTCATTTCAAGCCACAGGTTGATCTCAACTTCTGTGTAGCAGTTGGACGAAACGCTTTGAAACCCATCAAAACCCCCCACATATGCACAAGGCATCTCACTGGCTTGGCTGCATTTTAGTAAAAGAATCAGAAATGGATTCTTCAGAGATCCGAAAAAACAAGTACTACCTTTTGAAGTGCAACCTGCAGCTCGACTCAGAAAAAGTAGATGCCCCCTCTTTAAGCTGGAGAGCAGCCTGCCAAAAAGTTTAACATAACCATATGCGAGACAGAGATTTGAAGGTTTTAGAAAGAAGTTGTGCTTCTATTTTGAAAGGTACCGTTGGGATGGGAGAAAGACTAAGCATACCCCATACACCAGGCTTACCCTCAGCAGAGTATGCCAGAAAAGTCAGACTCAGCACACTGATACTATGCCAAAACTAAGGGAATTAATTTTGCTTATTTTATTCCAGTGCAGACTTAACACTGCGAGGTTTCTATTTTTGTGCAAACCTAAACAGTTCAGCAAGTTGTGTTGCCTCACTTGGTATATAATTTATATTGGCTTACAGTTACTGATAGACATTCGTGCACTCCATCTCCACCTGCCAAATTCTTTCACGTCTTTCCAATTCTTCTCCACAGCTGCCTCCTACCTCAGAGACCTCCCCTGCTCAGCTGGACCCTGGTTCCTTCAGCAGCCATCCACAAACTGGTGTGAAAAACTTACAAGGTTTTCGAGACCTTCTGTTTTTTGCATTCTGCAGTGGCTGCAACTGCATCCCTGAGTGCTGTATCCCACCCCAGCACAGCAGGCAGTGAGCCATGGACTTATCAAATGGTTTTTCCATCTCGTTGGAGAACTCGGCAGAGATATTGGTGGGCTGAGAGGTGCTTTTTGGCAGGCCTTCTCTGCTGAAACTATAGGTATGTAGGTCATGAGGATAAAGCATATCCAAGGATGAGATCAACAGGTGTGTCTCTCTTGGTGAAGTCAATATTGAAGGCTCTGCTAAACCAAGGATGAAATGGGAGAGGATGCCACCCCATCAGCAGGTACAAGTGGAATGCTGGTGACATCCTACATCTATGACATGATTTTCTTGTCTCCTGTGGAGCTTGAGTGCTCCAGGGCATGGTGGGAGGTCACCATGGAGCTGCCCCTGGAAGCTGGTAGGTCTCCCTGTCTCCAAGTTGATTTGCAGAGCTACAGCTTGAATCTGAATGACCAGGAACCCTTGCGTGATCCACTGCTCAGCAGGCAGCAGAAGGGGGGTTCTGAGAGGCTGCTATAGATGAGTATTCAACCCAAATGTAGTCTTTTGAATGCCACACTTCATCTTGAGTCAATCAAAACTGGATTGAGCTGTGGCCAGACTGGGGAGGGTAACACACCCTGAAATCTGAACTTGAGCAGAGTCAGATCTGCCTTTTTATCGACTTCTGCCACACCCACCTGTCTTTGCCTTTCCATTACATCTCCAAGACAACAAAAGCCTCCATCCATCTTCAAGCAGAGCTCAGAAGTCCTCCACTCTGCACCCATCATGCTTTGTCTGCCATGTTGGAAGTCTCGTCAACCAGCACCTGAATCCAGCGTCACCTTCCCAAGGGTGTAGCAGTTCCAAACTGTTGGCATCATCTCCCTTCCCATCGACAGGCAGCTTGCTGTGAAAGAACAACAGTGGACACTAATCTGAATTTCAGCTGCAGCAAAGCATGTTCACGGGAGTCCATAGTAAAAAGAAGGTCAGGTGGCAGTGGAAAGAGAGGGAGACTGAAAATGAGAATCACCTGTTACTTTCCTCTATAAAGGGTCTTAAGTCTTTATATTAGGTAAATTTAAATTACAGAGACTCGCCTACAACTCTCCTCGAACTCACAGTGGTCACAGGATCTGCTGAGCAGTGGAAGACAAAGGGGAACCTCAAAGCATGGGCTGCAGCTCAGAAGAGGGAAGAACCTCTCATTGTGGGCCACAGGAATCCTAGTGCAAACATTTTAGGAAAGCTGAGAAGCCAGTCCAGCTCAGGGACACTTCTCATGTCTCTGGTAATGCTCTTCATTAGATTTCCACCAATTTTCGGTGTGTCGCCAGTGACTGGGGGCTCTGGAGCTAGATGGATGGTCTAGACAGCTGCTCCCCATGTCCTCTCTCACTAATGGAGGACCAAGAGGAGCTCCTTCATTTGCTTGGCTATGGGACCAGGGCTGGTTCCTGTGTGGCTGGACCCCATGTTCAAGGCAATACTGCACTGTCCATCTGCTCTCCAGCAGAGAAGGAAATGCAGAACCCCCAAGAAGGACCAAGGAAGAGGCAAACCGAGATATTCTGGAAGCCTTTTTACAGCTTCCATTCCCTGCTGAGAGTTGGGAATGGAATGGGCGCAACATGGGATGTGCCCAAGGTGGAGATGGCAGTGGCTGGTGTCACCACAAGCTCTAACGCCAGTGTCACTGCAAGCCCTAATACTGGTGTCACCACAGGCCCTGCCACCAAGGCCACCATGGGTGCCATCACTGGTGTCACTGTGGGCACTGCCACCACCATAACTGCCACTACCAAGGCCACCATGGACACTGTCACCATAGGCACCACCATCAAGGCCACTGTAGGTGCTACCACCATGGCCACTGCTACCAATATCACTGTTGCTGCCAGCACCCTGGATGCCACCAAGGCCACCGTGGACACCAAGGCCA